AAGAAGCGGGGGAGGAGGAGGAGGAAAGCACCAGAGGGGAGGAAGAGAGGGAGGAAGAGGAGGAGGTGGAAGAGAAGGTGGAGAAGGAGACAGAAAAGGAGGCTGAGCAGGAAAAGGAAGAAGACAGCCTGGGAGCGGGGAGCCACCTGGATGCTGCCATCCCCTCTGGGGAGCAGATGTGTGGCTCTGAGGGCTCCCGCTCTGTCCTGGACCTGGTCAACTACTTCCTGTCCCCCGAGAAGCTGACAGCAGAAAACCGCTACTACTGCGAGTCGTGTGCCTCCTTGCAGGATGCCGAGAAGGTGGTGGAGCTGAGCCAAGGGCCGCGCTACCTCATCCTCACACTGCTGCGCTTCTCCTTTGACCTGCGCACCATGCGGCGCCGCAAGATCCTGGATGACGTCTCCATCCCCCTGCTGCTCCGCCTACCACTGGCTGGTGGCCGGGGCCAGGCCTATGACCTCTGCAGCGTTGTGGTACACTCTGGAGTGTCTTCGGAGAGTGGTCACTACTACTGCTATGCCCGCGAGGGCGCTGCCCGCCCTGCCCCTTCTCTGGGAACTGCCGATAGGCCAGAGCCCGAGAACCAGTGGTACCTGTTCAATGACACTCGGGTGTCCTTCTCTTCCTTCGAATCTGTCAGCAACGTCACCTCCTTCTTCCCCAAGGACACAGCCTATGTGCTCTTTTACCGGCAGCGGCCCAGGGAAGGGCCCGAGGCTGAGTCGGGCTCTTCTAGAGTCCGGACCGAGCCCACCCTGCACAAGGACTTGATGGAAGCCATTTCCAAAGACAACATTCTTTACCTACAGGTGAGCTGAGCCGTGGGGCCTTTGATCTGATCTCCTGGTGGAGGGAGTTCAGTCCCATTACTGGCTTAGATAAGTCATTTCCCCTTTAAGTCTTTTTTTAAAATCCCATTCATCCATTGCTCAGTGCTGGGCATATACTGGTGGCCCAGACAGACCTAACCCCTTACTTCAAAGTAACAGACACTGAATAATGAATGACACAGGTTTATTTTTTCTTTAAGTCCCAGGGTACATGTGCAGAATGTGCAGATTTGTTACTTAAAGGTGTGCCATGGTGGTTAGATGCACAGATCAACCCATCACCTAAGTATTAAGCCCTGTATCTGTTAGCTATTCTTCCTGAAGCCCTCCCTCCCCCGCCACCCCCAGCAGGCCCTCGTGGGTGTTGTTCCCCTCCTACCCCCAGCAGGTGTCCATGTCTTCTCATTGTTCAGCTCCCACTTACAAGAGCATGCGGTATTTGGTTTTCTGTTCCTGTGTTAATTTGCTGAGGATAATGGCTTCCAGCTCCATCCATGTCCCTGCAAAGGACGTGATCTCATTCCTTTTTATGGCTGCACAGTATTCCATGGTGTGTATGTGCCACATTGTCTTTATCCAGTCTATCATTGATGGGCATTTGGGTTGATTCCATGTCTTTGCTATTGTGAAATGTGCTGCAGTGAACATACATGTTCATGTATCTTTATATTAGAATGACTTATATTCCTTTGGGTGTATACCCAGTAATGGGATTGCTAGGTCAAATGGTATTTCTGCCTCTAGGTCTTTGAGGAATTGGCCACACTGTCTTCCATGATGGCTGAATTAATTTACACTCCCACCAACAGTGTAAAGGCATTCCTATTTCTCTGCAACCTCACCAGCATCTGTTTCCTGACTTTTTAATAATCACTATTCTGGCTTACTTGAGATGGTATCTCATTGTGGTGTTGATTTGCATTTCTCTAATGGTCAGTGATATGGAGTTTTTCTTTCATATGTTTGTTGGCCACATGAATGTCTTTTGAGAAGTGTTTGTTCATCATATCCTTTGCGCACTTTTTAATGGGGTTGTTTTTATTTTTTGGACATTTAAGTTCCTTGTAGACTCTGGACATCAGACTTATGTCAGATGGGTAATTTGCAAAAATTTTCTCTCATTCTGTAGGTTGTCTGTTTACTCTGATGATAGTTTCTTGTGCTCTGTATAAGCTCTTTAGTTTAATTAGATCCCATTTGTCATATTTTTGCTTTTGTTGCAATTGCTTTTGGTGTTTTCATCATTAAATCTTGGCCTATACCCTGAATGGTATTGCCTAGATTTTCTTCTAGGGGTTTAATAGTTTTGGGTTTTACATTTAAGTCTTTAATCCATCTTCAGTGACTTTTTTGTATAAGGGAGGGGGTCGAGTTTCAGTATTCTGCCTATGGCTAGCCAGTTCTTCCAGCACTATTTATTAAATAGGGAATCTTTTATCCATTGCTTGCTTTTGTCAGGTTTGTTGAAGATGGTTGTAGGTGTGGAGTCTTATTTCTGAGTTCTGTATTCTGTTCCATTGGTCTGTGTGTCTATTTCTGTACCAGTACTATGCTGTTTTGCTTACTGTAGCCTTGTATAGTTTGAAGTCAGGTAGGCATGAGGCCCATGAGGCCTCTGGTTTTGTTCTTTTTGCTTAGGATGGTCTTGGCTATATGGGCTTTTTGGCTCCATATGAATTTTTAAATATTTTCTAATTCTGTGCACGTGAATAGTAGTTTAATGGGAATAGCATTGAATCTGTTACATTGGGCCCTATGGCCATTTTCATGCTATTGAGTCTTCCTATCTACGAGCATGGACTGTTTTTCCATGTGTGTCCTCCCTTCACTTCCCTTGTTAGTTGTATTCCTAGGTATTTTATTCTTTCTGTAGCAGTTGTGAATGGGAGTTTGTTCATGATTTGGCTCCCTGCTTGGTGGTGGTGTATAGGAATGCTAGCAATTTTTGCACAGTGGTTTTTGTATCCTGAGATTTGCTGAAGTTGCTTAACAGCTTAAGAAGCTCCTGGGCTGAGATGAGGTTTTCTAGATATAGAATCATGTTATCAATGCAGTTGTTTAATAAGTGTGCTGAAGGAGGAGCACAGGGACCAGTTGAGTCTGAGGGGGAAGAGGATGCTTCTGGGAGGGTGTGTGTGTGTGTGTGTGTGTATGTCATGCTACCCACGTGGGCCTCCTATGTGCTATTCTACTGGCAGCGGCCCAGTGAGGGGCCTGAGGCGGGTTCTCCGGGACAGCTTCTGCCATGCTGTCCAGATGAAGGCAGGGTGGCGATAGGCTATCCATGAGGCTGACCTCATGGTGGCAGGAGGATGCGTTTTCTCATAGGCAGAGCCCATTCCTCGTGATCACGAGGCCTGTAGACAGGTTCCCATGTGGTGTGATGTGACCACCCCAGGCATCCTACCACTGAGCTGCAATGTCTCTAGGAGCCCTGATTCCTTCCTCTGTGTCTAGTCCCTGGGGACCCAGAGATGACAGTTAAAGGTGTGCTGGGTAGACTCTGGCTTCAGGGTGGGAATTCTAAGTTTCCTCTCATCTGTGTTCCCAGGAGCAGGAGAAGGAGGCCCGGAGCAGGGCGGCCTACATCTCTGCACTCCCCACATCTCCGCACTGGGGGAGGGGCTTTGATGAAGACAAGGATGAGGATGAAGGCTCTCCAGGGGGCTGCAATCCTGCAGGTGGTAATGGTGGTGACTTCCACAGACTGGTCTTCTGATGTGAACCTGCTGCCAACTCAACCCCTTCCCTCCAGGAGCCAGGTGGGGCCTGAAGGAGGCTGTGGAGGCAGGCTCAGTCCTGTAGTAGGCCTGATGGTACAGCTCATGGCACCTTAGTCCTCAGCCTGATGAAGGATACACAGAGACTCTCAGATACGGAAGTGAGACCTAAGTCCCTCTCACAGGGGATCAGTCCCATTAAGATTTTACACCCAAGTGTCCTGGTTAACTTGAAGCAGCTGAGATGGGCACACGCGGGTCTTTGCCTCCCCCTCCCTCCCCAGCAGGCTCCCCATGCTGGAAGAGCTGATGTTCAGGAAACAGGGCTGGACCTCAGCTCTAATGTTTTGACATCAAGTACTATTTTCCTTCTGACTGCTCTACAGTATAAAGCACAGCAGGATCCAAGCCTTGCACAAAGAAGGGGGCAGTGGTACCTCTGGCTGTCCTCTTGTTTCTCATATGGGGGTACCTGCACTGTCTGTACCTTTCTGAGAAGATCAGGTGGGAAGCAGCAGGGCCCCGGATCAGAGACCGAGAACTGCCCCCTTACCAAGCACCACTGCATGGTGGTGGGCCTAGTTCCTCATAGCAGGAGGCCTTTGCCCCCACATCCCCTCCGCCCCAGCCTGCCTCAGTGCCTGAGAAGCCACCACTTGCATCCCCCTCTCCTGGTTAAGGTAGAGTCTTTATTTTACTGCAGAGGTGTTCCATGTTCCTCGTGAAGTGTGGTCTCTTCTGAGGAAGCTAGTGGGCTCCTCTGATCAGTTGGCCTTTGTAGCTGTGCGAGCAGCCACCTGCAGGTTGGGTGAAGTGCCCTGACACTGCTGTAGCCCCTTCTAACCGAAGAGAAGACACCCATGTTCTTAAATAAATAAAACTAGGTTCTCTGAAGCCTAGCAAGAGATTGTTCTTCCTTGGTCTCAGGGGCTGTGACAGCCGCTGGATTTTTCTCACGGGGTCTGGAGAGGCTGACAGGTGGCAAGGTGAGGAGTCAGCCTGCCCCCCCCCGGTGACATGTGAGATGCCACAGGGAGCTGAAAGCCCTCTACTGAAGTGTGGTGTAAGTAAAGGTGTGAACTGACTTACCTTACTTATTGAGGGCGGGGTGATGCCCATGGAGAGGACTCACCTGGGAGGCAGCTCTCGAGCCTGTACCTAGCTCCTTCCCCAGGGCTGTGATGGAGGCATGGAGTTTGGGCCCCATGTCACACCTAAGTGACCTGTGAAAGTAGTAGACAGACACGCCCAGAACCCATCTCTAGACGCCTAAGAAAGATGGATTGGCAAATGCTAGTATATAATTTCCACTTTACAACAGACTGAGGTAGAGAGCATTCGTTCTTATTCATAGCCAAGTAAAATACCCAATAAAAATGGAACAGACGAGTGAGAACGGGTTCCAATGCCAAGCCCCTCAAGACAAGACGGACACAGCAGCTAGTTCCAGGGTGCATTTCTAGTGGACTTTATTGTCCTGCTCCAACACCACAGTAGAAAGGGACCTGCAAGCTCCAGGCCTGTACCATGTGTCACCATGTGTCACCACAGCAAAAACATGACCCACTTGAACACACTCCTGCCCCACCCACCGGATAAATATGTTACAATTTTTTTTTAAAAAAAAGAATACAACAGAATAAATTAATAACTTAAGTGATTAGGCACCAACAGTGATTTGAAAATTAAATGTCAATTTTAAATGGTAACAAGACAAGAACTCAAGACTGGGCTTCCACTAGCCCATTTTCTCTTCCTGACAAATAGTGACAATTCTGCACGAAATAATTCTAGATTTCAAGACACAAGTAGCCAACAAATACACAACACATGCCACCAGAAATCACACGATAGCCTGGATCTCTGGGGGACCCCCCCCCCTCAGTAGGCAGCTCCTTGTAGTCCCAGGCCCCAAAGAGCACTCGGGCAAGTCCCAGAAAGATGACCCCTATGGAAGGGCTTCAGAGCTCCTGAGGCCAGCCTTACTTCCCCTGCATTTTATGAAGGCCCAGATGGGGAAGGAAGAGCTCTGGAAACGGGGTGGGGGTTCTGGGCCAAGATGTCACATGGCAGAAGGGGCCAGAGTGGAGATTAGCTGAGCCCATGCTCTAGTAAATTCAGAATGGTTGTGCTTTTGTCCTAGGAATGGGGCATACTTTAATGGTTTCCAATGTAGAAGTTACCAAAGTCAAGCTAGGAGGGGACTGGGGATAGGTGCTGCCCACCCCTGACCATCCAGATCCCCCAGAAAGAAGTTACAGAGGGAGTCTCCTCTTCAAGCAGCTGAGCACCAGCTGTGGATGGGACCTCGGCGCATCTAATCCAACCTCCCATTCCACAGACAGGCAGACCAAGGACCTAAGTAGACACCATCTCCCTATTTGATTGTTCTCACTCAGCCTTGCAGAAGTGGAGCTGGAAGTGGGTGAAGAAGGCTCCTTGGAGAGCCCCAGGCAGGGGACTTGTGTGAAGTAGCGCTGGGTGGGAAGGTATCCCCCCACTTCCAGGGTCTCAGTCCTCGCCAGGCCCCCAGGAGAGGTGGACTTTGACCCATGGATAGGCCAAAGAACCAGTTTTTTCAACTGAGTTGACTCCTTTGTTGGGGGAGGTAGTGAGTGGAGGGCAGGGATATGCTAGACACGGCTGGTAGTTTGGGGCTTGTGAGCCAGAGCTTTGCTTTCAAAAGGCCAATTTTGCCTCTCATCCTTCCATCTCTACCCCTACACTTGCACCCGAGGGATTTTGGTAGTTACCGGAATCAGGAGCTGGAAGGAGGCCTCCTGGGAGATTTGATTTGAACACCTCAGTCGTGCTCTGAAGATTCCAGCCAAGGTCCACTCACATCATGGCACACTCAGAACATGCTCACATGTTTATGGGAGGCTGCAATAGTCTGGGGCCCACTTGTGGCTGCTGTGGGTACAGGGAAGGCACCAGTGAAAAGCTCTGTTGTATGGGGCCCCTTGCGGAGGGCCTTAAAGGCACACATTCAGGGCTGGGCAGAGTGAACCGCACCCTGCCAACTCTGCCCAGTGTAGGCGCTGCCACTGCTACCATTCACTTGTTGGAACACCAAGGCATGGCCCCGGCACTTCTGAGTGGCTGGACCCATATGCTCAAAGGCCTTTTGTTCCCAAGACACAAGGCTTTCCAAGTCTCTCCTTCCTTCTTCCTCCACTGGACCCAAGCCCTGCCCTCCTCCTCTGTAAAAATCTGACTCATCCCCTTCTAAGGCCTACCTCAGGCACCCCCTTTTCCTAGAATCCACCTTCCCTGATTGTGACCCCACTCCTGCCTCTGACACCAACCTCCCTAAGTCTTTACTTCCTCTGCCCTCCATCAGCATTTAAAGTCTCTCTCTGATGGCCATCACCACTGTCTTGTGTCCTTGTCCTTTTTCTGATTGTGACTATCTCAAGTTCAGGGACAAGGTCTGATTGATTCTTGTGTGGTTGGTGCTTAACCCCAGAGACTGGACACAGCAGCCATTAATAAATGCTCCTTGAGTTGATCTAAACTAATGCTAGGAGGAGAGGTGCAACTCTTGAGGAAATAACTTCTTCCACGATGGGACTTAGAGAATGGCTAGGCCATTGGTCTGGTGAAGTATGCATGCTCATGGGAGCTGAAAGGGGAGTAAGGGCAGAAGGGAGTAGCTGCCCCCATCGAACATGGCAGGAAGTCACTCTTTGGGAAGAAGAACGTCTGTTCATCCCAGGGTAGAATGAAACATCTAGTCTGTCCTGTTGCTTCTGAAACTCTTGAAAATTTAGTCAAGAACTCTCAACATAAAAAAATTCAGATCCCCCACCCTAGGCTTAAGAGAAGGAACCTTGGATGATGCCCTACGCCCCATCCCTGTTAATCTGATAGCCTTTCAAGCCCGGGGAGGAGAGTCCAACATGGCTCCTGGAATGCTAGAGAGCAACAGAGGACGGATGAGATGAGGAAACCCAGGGCCGGCACCAGGCCAGACTCGTTCCTACCCTGCGATCTGACATACGCCACAGCCCATGGGCACAAGCTGTCAGCCACGTCTGATGTGGTCCTCTAGGCATCATTCTGCCCTGCTTTCTCCTTGTCCTGCCTGACCTGCTGTCCCTCCATCCTAGGAACGGTGCTCATGTCACACCACCATGCACACCACTCTTGCACAATGTGTCACTCCTTCACTTACTGCTCCACCCTGTACCCCCAAGCATTGCCTTGGGCACTCCCCCACTCCCAGGCCCTTTGGATATATTTCCCCACTTGCTACATGGCCTTCACCCCTGCTTCACATCTGTCTGCTACCTCTGCGCCCAACTTCCACTGCACTGCTCACTACATAGAAACTCGCTGCCCCACCCCACTGCAGAGTCCCCTGCCCTGCTCTGCGCCTCTCCCCAGCCTGTGCCTGTCCCCAGGTTCCCCTCATTCCCTGAATCACACCCATCCACACCACACTCCCTCCCATATTCCCCACCCCTTTACCATGTGTTCCTGCCCCACGTGCTTGGTCGCCCAGCTTGGTCCAAGCCTTCCCCTGTGTGATGCTTTCAAGGTGAGGCTGGCGGGAGCCTTTGAGGGGGTTGGGGAAGAGGACTGCCCTTGGGCCTGGAGTGGCCTGTAGCTCCAGAGTTCTGGGGACCCAGACCCCACAGTGTCCTTGTCATCTCTACCACCTGAGCTCCAAGCGCTGCTCCTTGCTGCTCTAGGTTGGCCATCGTCAGTTTTCCCTTCCTTTTGTCCTTCATCCTCCGCCTGTGCACCCCACAGCAGCTGTCCTGCCATGGCCTTAGCCTGAAAGTGGGGGTCCCTGCAGATGTCAGCTTTCCCTCTGCATCTGGGCATCTAAGTCCTTTACCCCTCAAGACCACTGCTGGGCCTCCTTCTCCACCGTCTCCTCTTTTAGTGGCCTTGCTTCTCTCCTGCCAAGAAAAACAGGAATGAAAAAGTCCATTATCCACTTTGGTCTGCTGGTCCTTGACTCCCTGGGTTGGTGAAACTTGTCTTCTGGGACTGAAGGAGAGGTAGCCCAGTGGCCGGAGGGAAGATAGCTGAGGGCTGTGACTGAACGTGAGGTGTGGAATCTGGCTCAGAGCCCCAGCCCTTCCCTCCAAACATCTGGTAGATAGTCAGGTCTAAAGGACAGGAAAAGGCTGAAGGATGCTTTTTGGCAATAGCTCCTCACTAAGGTGGGTGGAGGCATGGCCATTACTGATAAAAATCACAGCTGGGCCCCGAGTGGGCAGAGGAGGTGCCTTGATCAGGCCCTCACCTCCCAGGGGAAGGGTTCAGGGTCCCTGATGTCAAGTGCTTTGAAGGCTGAGACTGGCAGAGTAGAGAGGAAGTGAATGGAAGGAACAATGGGAGAGGGGAGAGGGGGAGGGGAGAGGGGTAGGGGAGATGTGAAGGGCCAGCTCTGGAGACGCTGCCTCCTGGCCCCTCCCTGGGCTCTGCGGTGGCCCTCTCGTCACAGCTTGGCACCCTTGGAAGGCTCCGAGGACTGCCGCACGTCTGTCCACTCCTGCATGGTGTTCTGCAGGGCCTGGGTCTTCTCCTTGTCCACCTGAACATAGTCCACCTTCTCATCAGAAGTGACAGATGAAGTAGATGGCTGAGGGGACAGAGTGGGAAAGAGGGAGTAGCTGTGAGTTACCAGTTAGGTGGGGAGGAAGAAGATGGGCGTGGGATCTTCCTGAGCTGTCTGAAGGGGAGAAGAGCATGGCCTCTGCCTGCCACTGACCAGCCTCAGGAGCCTGGCTTCTCTTTCTGAATGTGGGCTTTAAAGCTCAGACTCCAAACTCATTATCCCTCCTGCAGGATGCGGCAGCCCTTGCCAGCCCTTCTTACTTCCCGGCTCCTGGGACTACCCAGGCCCTTCCTTGGCCCTGGTGGATGGGTCCAGGCCTTCATCTCTGCCTCCACCCATCTCTGTCAGGTTGCTCATCCAGGGGAAGGACTTTGCTGGGTGTAAACAAGCACTAGCCACAGGACTTTACGTGCTGTGCTCACCGCCACCCTGTGAAGGGGAACCATGCTGAGGCACAGCTCTGCACCCTGCTGTCTAGACTGCTTAGCTAAGGGTACCTCCTGGGGAGGCTTTCCCAGGCCTGGAAGTCCCTTGTGAAGGCTGATGTATTGACGGCAGGGCTCTGGGACACACCTAAGAGCCCAGGACCAGGAGGCAGTATCCTCATTCCTGGATCTGTTGCTGATTCACTTTGTTTAGCACAATCAGATCTCTATGCACTCATTTGCCCATCTCTGCAACACGGGGGGTGGGCTGACTGATGAGGTTCTTTGAGGGTACTGTGCTCTGAGAGCAGGAATAGGAGTCTTTAGACCTAGGTGAAAGCTCTATGACTAAAGATGCATCATAAAAGCTAGGTACTGGAGCAGGAGGGAGGCTGAGTGCTACTGTTTAGTGTTGAAGGCACCCTGACCTCCATGATCTCTGCCTCCGGGGCCCTGAGAGCTCTTACTGTCCCCCCAACCTCTACTCCAGGCACCTTGCGGTGGGGGCTTGGGGAGCTCGGCTGGAAGTCCAGGGCCAGATAATCGACGCTGCCGGTGCTCTTCTTAGGGGCAGGACTGTTGGTGCCACTGGGAACGGGAGATGCAGACACTGGGTTTTGCTGTCACGAGGAGGAAAAATCCGTGAGTGTAGAGAACAGACTAACCCACCACCCAGAAAAATACCTCTGGGAGTAAGAACACTGGTTCCCTGAGCCCTACTCTGACTCATGCATCATGCTAAGGACTTTTCATGTTCTCATTTTAGTCCTCATGACAATCCTGTAATGTAGGTATGATTACTGTTGATACTGTTTAAAACAAATATGAAACTGTGGTTCACTTTACTTTCAGAGAAGTGACTTTGCCTGTAGTTGTACAGCTGTTGAGTGATGGGAATCAGGTCTATTTTCTGACTTCCAAACCTGTGCTAACCCCTGTGCCACACTGTCTCCTTTATAGCACATCAGGCCAAATCTCATCAACAGGGGCTCTCCTGAGACACCCAGCCTTTGCTTGCTGGCGCTTAAGAAGGGAGCACATTTCCTTTATGCACTGGAAAGTTTTCTTCTGTTGCACCAAATCAGCCCCTCTGAAACTCCCACCTGTGGCCTAGAGTGGGGTAGTCACCCCAAAGCAGCTTGCTCCCCCACCTAGCTCCTCCAAGATCTGAACAGGGTGGCTTTATCTCCAGGCTGCACAAAGCCCGCATTTCTTCAGATGACACACTCTGGGATCCTGTCCATCCAAACTCTTGCTCTAGCAAAGCACCACCTCCTCTAGGACTTTCCTGAAGTCTTATTCTAATGAGAAGGTGATAGTCCTGTGTTCTGTTTGTTGGCTGCTTTATTGGTTGGTAATTCATTCTTTCACTGTCTATGCAGTGACTACCAGGTGCTGGGCAGTTATGCCCTTAATGGAAATCTCAGGGAAGAAATATCCTCCTCTGCCTGTGCTGATAGCTCTATTACGGCCTCACCAAAGTGAGTTATGTGCATGTATGCCTCTCACCGCTGAGGAGATAACTCCAGCACTGACTATCCAAGGGCACACAGATCCTGCCACCTGTGTCACTGTCATGAGAGAGGCAGGCCCCTGCCCTTGAAGACCATGACTTCGTTGGGACAGGTCTCATGTCTTCCTTACATCTGATGACAACTCCTACTGCTTGATAAATAGGTGCTCAAGAAGGGTTTGTAGCAGACTAAATCATGAATAATACAAGGAGTCCCTGGGCAGAGGTGAATTAGCTAAGCTGGGAAGTGGGGAACTGAGTGGTGGGTCCCAGGGGACTTTGATAGGAGTCATTCCAGCGAAGCCCGAAGGACTCACCATAGGGACATAGTTCTCTTCGCTGTCTCCTGAGTCTGTGCTGGTGATGCTCTGGGTGGAGATGGGGCGGCAGTACTGGGAGGAGCTGGAGTTGAAGGTGTGGCTGTTGTGGGAAGGAAGAATCAACACTGGGGAAGCAGCATGGCTGCTGCCCTGTTTCTAGCCTACAGCTGAGTCCTGACCCTCACACACCCAGACCTCAGCCATTAGAGCTGCACACTCCATCAGATTAAGATCTGATATAGGGCAAGTATAATTATTCTCTTTTATAGCTGAGGAAACCAAGCCACAAGAGATCAAGAGACATGATCAGCTAATGATAGCATTAGCATCAGAATCCAGCTGTCCTGGCCCACAGGCCAGCTACCATTTCACTCATCTTCTCTAATGGGCTGACTCCAAGCTCCCACCCCCACACATAGGCACTCACCTGGCCCTAGACCAAGACTTGGTGATAGGTGACTTGAAGGGGAGTTCATCGATGACAGTGTTGTTTCTCAGGTCAAGTGGTGTTGGCTTTGCTGGAGCAGGAAAAGAAAGTCTGGTAATCAGCCAGTAATAATGCTACACATACACAACTTATATATAACACATGAGCACGTTTATAAAAGCCTGCAAAGTCATTCCAGTTTCACACAGGGAAACTGATGCTCAGCGAGGTTATATAATCTTTGCCCATATTGATGGGCCTTGAAGTCATGTCTTCAGTCTCCAAATTAAATATTGTTTCTGCTGTATCTATGGTAATTATATTTTCAGAATCAAAAATGAGGACACAGGGTTTGACAACAGATTCTTCTCCCTCGATTTATGACTTCATTTAAAAATAAGAGACTATATAAAAAGATATATTTATATATTAATACAGATATTAATATATATTTATATATACATATATATTTACATATATTTTCTTTGAGACAGGGTCTCGCTCTGTTGCTCAGGCTGCAGTGCAGTGGTGCAATCTCAGCTCACTGCAACCTCTGCCTCCTGGGTTCAAGTGATCCTCCTGCCTCAGCCTCCCTAGTAGCTGGGACTACAGGAGCCTGCCACCACGCTTGGCTAATTTTTGCATTTTTAGTAGAGACGGGGTTTCACTGTTTTGGCCAGGCTGGTCTCAAACTCCTGACCTCAGGTGATCCACTCGCCTCAGCCTCCCAAAGTGTTGGGGTTACAGGCATGAGCCATGGCACCCAGCCAAGAGACCATATTTGAAGTGGAGATGGTCACTGTGACTACTCTCTGCTGCTCCTGGCCAGGTCTGTGCAAGCCACAGTGGAGGAAGGTAGATGCCACAAGGGCCTGAGGGCTTCAGTTTCACATGCTAAGATTTGAATTCCCTGTTGGTCAGACCCACAGGGGGCTATCTCTGCCCAGCTATCCTACTCCTCCCTTTGAATCCTTGCCACTAATCCAAGACCAGGAGAGTGAGATCACAGCAGACTGGTAACTTGCCTGGTCTACATGCAGGGGGCACAAACCTGACTTTACTGAATGCCTGCTGTGTACCAAAGTACTATCCTAGATGCTCTCCTTCACAGCAAACCTGGGAGGTAGGAATTACCATCTTCATTTCACAGATAAGAAAACCGAGACTCAGAATTTACATGATTTGCCCAAAGTCACACATCCCAAGTCCAGGATCCACATGACCCCTAAGCAAATGGAAAGAGTCCCTAGCTATTGTCCAGAGATGGGACAGGGGAAAGAATGGACTTACCTTTCCGATCAGGTTTGAGGTTGCGGTTGACAGGGGGTGGCTGGATCTCACTTCCTCTGCTGGGGCCTCGGTGCATAGGAAGGGTTGTTGATGGGTAGCCAAGTGAGTCAAAGTGATGGGCCCCTGGGCTCATTGGGATGTAGACGCTCTGGGAATTATCACCTGCTCGTTCCATGGCCAACAGGGTGGAAGAACCTGGGTTCATGGGCACATAGTTGTCTTCAGAATTGGTGCTGTCTGATCGGCCCACAATCATTTTCCCTGGCTAGGGAGAGGAACAGTGAAAGAAATACAGCTGTTACTAGCAAGAAGAAACAGGAAGTAGGTAAGACTTTGTAAAGTAGGTAAGACTTTGTAAACTAGGCAAGACAAGTCATGACTGGGTTAGCTACACTTTGAAGCTGTAAGGGAGACCCTGGGGAGACCAAATAAGAAAGCAGAGTAGTGGGAGGTTAAGGCAGTTGGATCACTTGAGGTGAGGAGTTCGAAACCAGCTTGGCCAACAAGGCGAAACTTCCTCTTTACTAAAAATACAAAGCATTAGCTGGGTGTGGTGACATATGCTTGTAATCCCAGCTACTCAGGAGGCTGAGACACGAGAATCGCTTGAAGCTGGGAGGCTGAGGTTGTAGTGAGCCAAGATCACACCACTGCACTCTAGCCTGGGTGACAGAGCGAGATTCTGTTTCAAAAAATAAAAAATAATAAAAAAGGAAGCAGAGTGGGAGACAAGAATATATGAGGTCTGTGGGCCCCTTCAAGCCTTCATGATCCTTTGGCATCCACCAATAATTTTTGATAAATCTAGAGTATAAAATATTCTTGGTGACTGGGTCCACTTGGCTTTCTGGATGCCTGACCAACACTGTGGGTAGCATAGTCCATAGACTGTAGGTTTGGTTCAGGACCTGCCCTCCACCTCAAGTCCAGACTCACCATTGGCAGGTCAGCATCTCGGGCCCTGGATCAGAACAAGGAGCATATTAGGAGTCCTGGCTCTGAAAGGTGAGGTCTGGGGCCAGTTGTGTTTCCCCAGTCCAGGTTCCTAAGTACCTGGGGCTCACTCCAGGCACCTAGGGGACCACCAAACTGCAGTCGGAGCTTCTACAGAGTTGTGCAATACAGCACCCTTGGCTATAGCCTTCCTCTAACTCTTGTTCTACGTGCCCTGACATACAACTAAGCTGCTTCTGCCTTGGTTACCTGATTTCACGTCTTTCCAGTGGGCCTGAAGCCAGGCCTTGGTTTTCTTGCCTGACACGTTGGAGAACTGTGTTAGCATCTTCCAGAGGGCAGCCTGGGATCCTGCTCTCAAGCCATAATTCTGCCACTTAGCATGACTGTGAGTACTACCCTTGCCTGGAGTCTCACACTGCAGCCTGCCTCCTACATGTGAGGCCATGTGGGTAAGGTTGTTGCCTTAGAAGATCCCCCACCGTGCAGCCTGGGTCTATTGCATTCTAGACCCTCTGCTTACCTACAAGGTTGGTGAACCTTGTAATCCAGTCTACCTTAGCACATACATTTCTTCCGGACTAGAATACTTGTATCTTACTTGTCCAAAGACTCAACACAGGGTTCTGAACTGAGACAAGAACTTGGGCAGGGTCTTAAGATGGAGATGCCATCACTCTTTTGGGGTTGTGCTTTTAGTTCCATAAGGTGTGGCCTTTTACCTAACCAGGCCTGGCTGAGGACCCCTGGTTAACCCACACTCACCAGGAAAGAGCCGACTCCATCACTCATGGATTCAGCAGACCGGCCTGCACTCTCTCCACCACGCTGTGGGTACTCGTAGGTCTCACAGGAAGAAGCTGACAGAGGAAGGAGGATCCGTATGTACTCATGGTTGATTCATGTGTTGACACTTCCCCATACCCTCACCAGTGTGGTTCAAGGTCTTACTGATACTCCAGAAGATACCACTCTCAACCCCAAATGATAAGGAATTTCTTCGAACACATCACTCCTCAGTTCAAAAATCCTCCTGGGCTTCTAGATGTAGCTCCAATGTTAGCATCTGCAGAGAAGCCATCCTTGACTACTCTACCCTCATCTATGCACCTCTCCTTTGACTCCTATAGCACTCACCTGTCCCACTCACCCCAGCCATCACTTCTCTGAATACCACAGTAACAATACTTGTCCTGATTTATATGTGTTGGTTTTATTTTCCCAATGAGATGTAAACTCTGAAGGGCAGGAACATGTTTTATGTATGTCTTTATCATCTCAGTTCCAAAGCACAGTACGACTGCTCAAGTTGTTGATGGATTGAAAGGCGGCAAGGAAGTCTAAACCAGGAGCTGGGACTCTAGGGTCTCAGTCTCATCTCTGGCACAATGACTCTGCAACTCTGCTTAAGTCTCTTAACTGTCATTGGCCTCATGTGAGATGGAGACAAGGAGGTTTTGTCCCACCAACCTCTCTGCCTGGCTTAAACAACAGGATGGACAAGAAAAGGCTTTGCGAGCTATAAAGCAAGATGCAAAATGAAAGGAATTAATATTGTTCTATTTTTTCATCATACAGAGGAGGTTACATGCAGAGTTGGAATACTCTCAGTGGAAAACAAGTAACAATAGAATTTAGGTACTTCAAAAAAAATTTTGACTTCAACCAAAGAGATTCAAGTATGATTCAGAAAATATTCTTAAGATCTCATTTTGCTTTAACAGTCTGTTAGTCCACACAGGTTTCACTCTAGTTTGGACTGATCTTCTAAATTTATTTTTTAGATCTTTGGTTTGATTTATAAATGAAAAAATATAACGATTTGGACTTCTAAACCCATAATATGTTATACTGTGGTTAGTCAAGAATGTCCTATTCTCCATTAGAATATTAACTTCTCTGGGACTAGCTCTGTTATACAACTGCTAACAGCCTCCTGTGCTGGAGGACCCAACTGGTAAGTGATCTGGGTAGAAGACACCTACATTTGTGAGTATCAGTGACCTAGGTGGTTCATAAGTTCCCCTCGGCCACAGATGACCAAGGACTACCAAACTATTGAGAACCCCTGTGTTACCTCCTCCTCCCTCTGAGTCTCAGCTAGGGCTTATACTGACCTCGGTGAAGTCGGCTGTTGTCCATTGCAGGGAGGGTGTTGCGTCTGGGAATGGTGGCAGCGACAGATCTGCTATTTTCACTGATTGGAGGTCTCTGCTGAGGACTACCCCATCGAGGTGTTTCTGCCTGACTTGGCTTGGGGGGGCGGGGTGGGGGAGCTATGGCTGAGTCCCCAGGAGTGGCCACTGTCATGGCATTATGGTTTTTGTCCAGAGTGAATGTCCTAGGGATCTGGTAGGCTGAGAGTGGGGTGGCCGGAACATCCATATTGTCTACCAGGAGGTCCCCAAACTCCCGGCACAGGGTGTTGCTGGGTGTCTTAAAGGTGTACACATCCTCATTATCTGTCTCGGAGCCTGTGAGGCTGCCCTTGGTGTGGCCATGGGAGGCCAGGCTGCGGGGGAGGTCGTAGGTACTGTCTCTGAATTCTGTATTGTGCCGGCTCGGCTTGGGAAGGCTATAGAAGCCATGGACTTGACCACTGACCCCGTTGACACAGTGTCCATTGCCCTGGGCAAGTTTTTGTACAGCCGTGTCACTTCTCATGAGAAAAGAGGCTCTGGTGCCCTGAGAGAAGCTGGCACTCCTAAAAGAGAAAGAAGGGAAGGGGCAGGAGGGTGAGACAAGCCAAGGACTGCCCCCAAGGAGACAGGCTGGGATGTTCAAAGCCCCATGAAGTTAATTGATGTGGGCAAAACACAGGATGAGGAGTCAGGCTAACCTGAGGTTTACCTACAATTTGCCAATTGCTAGCTGTGTGACCTTGAAGCAAAGCACTTTCTCAGGAGCTAGGACTATAGGTTTAGGCATCTGTAAAACGGTGACTAAAAGCATATTTTGAAGGTTGTTTAGATATTAGACTCTAGTACATGAATGTTTAAACAATGTTAGACTTCATCTGTCCCCCATCTCCAAATGGCAGTTATTAGCGGGGGTTATAACCCCTACTCCCTGACCAGGTATCAATAAGCCAGTTGGACTGCCTATCTGTTCATTGTTTTAAGTACCACAGAATATGCACATTCAAATACAAATGTTGTGAGACAGTGGAAAGAACCTTTAAGTTGATGACAGGAAACAGCAAACAAGTCATTTCATCTCTCTGAGTTTATTCTGCCACTGTGAAACTAGCCCATGGGTATTGATGTTGTAAGTTAAAAAGAATTATTTGGGTCAGGTGCAGTGGCTCAGGCCTGTAATCCCTGCACTTTGGGAGGCTGAGGTGGGAGGTTCACTTGAGGCCAGGAGTTCAAGACCAGCATGGGAACATAATAAGACTCCATTGCTGCCAAACGAACAAACAAACAAACAAACAAAAAAACAAACTAGCTGGGCAGGGTGCTGCACACCTGTCATCGTAGCTCCTGAGGGGGGCTAAGGCAAGAGGATTGCTTGAACCCAGCAGTTCGAAGTTAGAGTGAGCTATGATCACACCACTGCATTCCAGTCTAGTAAACAGAGTGAGACCCTGTCTCAAAAAAACACACCCCCCAACACAAACAACAAACTATTCAAACGTAAGCTACAGATTTATTTTCTACAATTATTTATGGTTGGTTGAGAGGCATTTTGAGTGGAAAGATCTCTTTCCAGAGATCTAGAAATCTATAGGAAGAATGGTTTCCTGTTTGGGAACCATATTCAGGATAGAAAAAGTTTTGATTAGTACATTTTTAAATTTAGGTTTTGGGCAATAAGGCAAGCAGTAAAAAGAGATGAGAAACAAGAGGGGAGACTTGTGTTAGGTTCCAGTACTGCTACCGATATGTGCTGTGCCTCCTCTCTCAGGTGTGACCTAGTTCGTCACAATGATTTCTAAGGGCCCATCTGGCCCTGATGCGCTGCAAAAGCCCTTCGCTTCACAAGAGTGGTTTTCAAACTAGATTCTATGTTCTCTGTAGGTGCTTTGGGAAATTGGAGGGTGAGGTTCTGAGCAAGCAGGGATTTAGGTCTGCTTCTTTAGCTTTTATATGATGATTCTTCATAGGATTTCACTTGGGGAAAAAAAGAATCAATCCTTTGTAGCAGTGATTCTCAGCCTTTTGGAGGCTGTAAGAGTTTTTAAGATTCTGGTCAAAAGCTCTTGAAGTGTCTCATCAGAAAAGGCAAATCTCAAATGCATATAAGCTTGTGGGGGCTGTAATACATAGCCCTCTGAGGCCAATCCCTGGACCTTTTGCCTTACAGAAGCTCTCTCAGCTCCTGAGGAGTTTGTTATTTACAGATGTGGCCACCAGATGGTGTTAGAAAATACAGGCCAGAGCTTAGAGGAAACAGGTGTGTAAGCCAAGCTTCCCCTCATGTAAACTGTACCCATGATGGCTAGGAGTTCCAGGTCAGTCTCCAAACCTTCACTGATGCTCCTCCCTGGGCCTCTGCACTCCTCCTCCCTTTCTGTTCCATTCCACACACATAACCAGGCCAACAGCCAGGGGCTCGGATGATTGAACATCTAGCCTTCAGATAATGTAGTGTTCGGAGGAGAGGACGGGGTGGCGGGGGGAGCTAATGGTAGACATAAGGTGTTAATGTTGTATGCATTTTTTGGGTGCCTTTCATTTTGCTTTTTTTTTTTTTTTTTTTTGGAATTTCCAACTCTCTGTTGGATGCGCCCATCTGGATTTGTTCATTTTACATTTACTGATGTCCTAAGTTCCATCTGGGCCAGGCAAGAGGGATACAGAGATGCCACCTGCCCAGTGAGGGGTGGTCAGGGAATGTCACAGTAGTGGAGGAGGTGACATGGATGCAAATCATTAGTCAAGTAGGGGTGAGTATGTAGCTGTTGACAGTTGGTATCAGCCCTTGGTGGGGTGGTGGTAGACAACGTCAGGGAAGCCTCCTTCAGAGATGTTATTATCTTGAGTGAGTCTGGAAGGATGAGCCACAACTGGCCAGGCAGAAGGCAGGAGAAGGGAAATGGTGTTCTAGTTGAAAGCTCAAAGATGTAGAACACAACCTGGCAAGTTCTAGGAACTTGAAGCTGCTCAGGCTGCAGCAAGCACATTAGAAGGCAGGGCTGAAAGAAGACAATGCAGGCCAGGACTGAAGGGAATAGGGAGTCTCTGAAGGATTTCAAGGTGGCAATGGGGTTGCAAGAGCATCACAAGTACCCTGCAATAACCTTCAACATAGTCAAGAACGAACTCATCATCTTCCTCTGGAACTCTTACTTCACCTCCTGACTCTCTTATTTTGGGAATGGCACCAGTTACTTAAGCCAGAAACCTGGGAGTCACCCACATTATGATTTCTGCCCAGGGCCTCTCTGATCCTTCCATCCTACTACTATTTACTTTCCTAACTTCCCAGTGTAAACATTTTCAATACTGCCTCAGTGCTTCAGGATTAAGCCCAAACTCCAAGGTTTATCCCAACTCATCTCACCAATGTTTTCTCTTTAGTTCCCTTTTCCACTCTAGAATCCAAACCAAACTTTGCAGTGTCCCCTGTGTGCCCCAGTCAGTCAAGCATTGGGCTTTGTTGTGTTGTTGGGCTGTGTCTGGAAGACTTCTTACCTCAATCTGGCAAGCTCCTATTCCATTTATCCTTCAAAATCATCTCAGACGACACATCTTTCAAGGCCATTCTTATATCCTCTACCTCTAAGCATTGCTTAACTTAATCACTTGCTTAACTTTGTTCTTGGAGCAGGGAGCAAGTGTTGCCTATATTAGGCACCATTACTACTTATCTCTGCCAACAGACTGTGATTTCCTTGAAGAAAGAAACTGTGTTTTACTCTTTTTTCTCTCCTTAGCACCCAGGTTAATGCTTGTTGCAATGTAAATAATGAATAAATGTCTGTTGTAAGTAAGCAAATGAATAAACAAAAGTATGGGGCTGCCACCCCTTTTCCTGGGCTTGGCCCAAACCTTCTGATCAGCAGATCAAAACCCTTCCTCTGTAGAACCCACTAGCTTATGTTCCAACTTCCTTCTACCCCAGCATCGTCCCGTCTCACTCACAGAACTACTCACTCATCCCTAAACATGTCCTGTGTAGTCTAAACTTCAGTCCTGTTCTCGCATTACTCACCTCCCTGTGGAATGCTTCCTTGATACATCAACATTTTACACAAAGTCCACAAGAAGCCTTTTCACTCTACAAAGGTATTACAGGTCCCTAATTCTCCTTTTTACGGTAATCATTCCTTCCTCTGTGCTACCCACAGCACTCTGTGCTTCCATCACAACACTTACCTTATTCTGCCTTATGTCAGTTATTCAGGTCTGTGTCTTTCCACTTCTACCAGACCATATGCTCCTAGAAGGCAGAGGGCCATATCCTGTACCCTGGCATAGTGCCAGGCATATGATAGATAATAGTGACACATGTTGAGGGAGACTGATTATTACCTCAGTTACCAAGTAAGAGGAGTTGAACAAGGGACTCTTGCCCAAAGTTACATACTCAGAGGGTAGGGAATTTGTTCCAGCACCCAGGTCTCTGGGCGCTCCCGCTGCGCAAACCATGCTACAGTGTGCTCCCTTTGGGCAATAATCCAGATGGGGAATTCCAAATATTCAGCAGTCCTGTGGCCTTTAGTATTTTCATGTAAACCTTAACTGAGGCCTATGTCACTGTGATGACCTGAGTTGCTTTTGTGGGATGGATAATCCACCCGGACGTGGTGGATTTGGAGAGAGGCTTCCCTTCCAGGGCTGGGCTTACAGGAGCCTTATAAAATAGGCAAGATCCTATGCCATACATATCGCATGTGATCTCATTTTAAATCATCCTAACAGTTCTGAGACACACCTCTTTCTTTTCACATTATCAGATGAGGAAAACAGTAAATGGCAGAGTTGGTGCAGGAAGATACTCAAACACAAGTATGTAGGGGAGCTCCCCGGAGGCAAGAAGAAGTTTGAGAGAAGATATTCCCTCGAGTCAGCTGTGCCAAGTGCCTTTCCTTTCCATTCCTGGCCAATGGCTCCTCCGGAGGCTAGAGAGGCTACTGTCATCACACAGCATCACACAGTCTCTCCCTTGGCTTTTTTTTTTTTTTTTTGGTGATGGAGTCTCACTCTGTCTCCCAGGCTGGAGTGCAGTGGTGCAATCTTGGCTCACTGCCACCTCTGCCTCCCGGGTTCAAGCAATTCTCCTGCCTCAGCCTCCTGAGTAGCTGTGATTACAAAAGCATGCCACTGCACCTGGCTAATGTTTGTATTTTTAGTAGAGACGGGGTTTCACCATATCGGCCAGGCTGGTCTCGAACTCCTGACTTCGTGGTGCGCCCGCCTCGGCCTCCCAAAGTGCTGGGATTACAGATATGAGCCACTGCGCCTGGCCTTCCCTTGGCTTTTAAAAATGGTTTTCTAGTTTTTCTAGCCACTTCATTTTGTACTTGTTTTTCCACACATTTTCATATAATTTTATATACCAAACTATATGATGATTTTGCTTTTTTCTATCCCACTGGATTTCAATAGCCCTAATGATGAAGGACTTTTGATTTTCAATGAGTATGTTCCCATTTAAGGGTAACAATATAAAATGCTTGTAAGTAGATTAACCACCATTTAGAGTTCTGTAACTGTCACTGGCCATTGTTTAAGAGGTCATTTGAACTATCCTCTTGCA